ATAAAAAAATCCATTTTTTTTTCCGTGGTGAAACGTAACAAAAGGAAATTTGTGCAAACAATCAATTATATATCTGGGGGTAATTAAAAAAAAAAAAAAAAAATCAAAACGTTTTTACTAATCATTTCTTTTATTTCCCGTCCATCGCGTACAAAATAATAATCAATTATGTTTTCAAGTTTTGAGGGCAACAATTTTTGACAAAATTGTATCATAATTGCAGTTGATTTTAATGATTTAAACATTTCTTTGTAATATATTGACCTTAAACGACTATTCTCAAACTTTATTATAACAACAGTAACAGTAGATACAACTGCATAATATTTTTCCTTTCTTTGTATACATGAAAAACAGAAAGAAGAACATTTTTTTTTTAAATATGACGTCATATTTAAAAAATGCAACTATACCTAAGTTGAACGATACCAATCATTCAGTATTCTTGTATAGATATCCAGGTGACATTAGAAAATATTCGGTCAAAAGGTTATTCATCGATAAACATTTTATTCCACCATCAAGTGTAATGATTTAGAGAAATATCATATAGTTGTATCTGCAGTACAACATAGTTATCATCTACTGTTACTATTGTCATAATAAAGTTTGAGAATGATCGTTTAACTTCGAAATATCACAAAGAAATGTTTAAATCATTAAGATCAGCAGTAATTATTATACAATTTCATCAATAATCAATTACAATTTCTCTATTATCACCTATTTATAATTCTAATTTTCTCTTGTAACTGTCTACTCAATTATTAATTCATTATATTAAAAACGGAGGAGAGAAAAAGAAAATATCATTATTTTTCAAGTGTGCAATAATATATTTAAATAAAAATAATGTCTAAGCAAATTTTTTTGCCTCAATACAAAAACTAAACAATTTGATAATGTCTACTAATTTGCAATAGCCAGTAAACAATATATTATAATATAAAATAGAAACAGAGACAACTATTGTTTATAAGTTATCTAGATTTTTTTAAATAAAAAAATAGTAGTTTTTGTATGTCTTCTTTACTATAGAAGAGAAAATATTGAATTTTGAATGTTTCAAAATTCAACTTATGAATTGTTAGTTAACATTTAACATATTTTCTCGAATTCAAATTTAAAACAAATATTATCTAGTCTTGTTTTTTTTTCGAAATTAAATCAACAAATTATGTGAAAGATAAGCTAATTTTGTCAATTGCATGTCAAGATGTCAACTATATTGCATGTTTAGACATTGAGTATATGCTAATGACATTCAAATAGATTTACCTATTAAATAATTAAATTAAACTAAATTTTTTTTTCCTGACGTTGATATACGTTGAATTTATTTATAAAAGAATTAAAACTCTGCGCTGTTCTTATATTATTTTTTTCTATTTTACTCTTTCTTCTCGTTATTGTTGTTTATCTTAAGAACTTTATTGTTTAATAGAATTTTTTTGTGTTCTTTATTACTTTATGACAGTGATACTTTCACTTTTATTTTGTTCATTCTCTCTCTCTTTCTCTATCTCACACACACACTCAAATATTGTTAGTACTCTAGACAATAGGTGTCTCCTCTAGAGAATAATATATCGTATACGTTCATGTATTTAATGATCGAAATATGTGTGTATGTGTGTGTGTGTGTGTGTGTGTGTGTGTGTGTTGAGAAATAAAAGAGAAAGAAGAAGAAGAATGTTCAACACACAATTACATTAAAAAAACTGCAACAATAAAGTTTTTTCTTTTCTATTTTGTTGTATATAGTCAAATATACATAGTGAAGTTTGTTTTGGGCAAATGTTAATTGAAACTATGCAGGTATGAGAAACTATTTAAATTTTCTTGCGAATTGCCATAAAAATGTAACGATTACTCATTTACATATTCTTAAAAGAAAAAAAATTTAATGTTTATATTATTTACGATAATAAAAAAATACAAACACATTTTTTCTAATGTTTAAGAGACTGTGATAACAATGAAATTTTTCTTTTCAAGACAAGAAATTTTTTTTTAATTAATTAATTAATTAATTAATTTATCTAATTATATTTACCTTTAACAAAATTGATTTACATACATATCTAAATTGTGCTCGATGCATACATAAAAAGCGATAAACGCTTACTATTTACTACATCGCCTATTTATATAGTTTATATCTATCAGCGAAAACTATTTTGCTGAAGATTCCAGGATGATGGTCTATTTTGACTACTTTTGTACAAATAATTTAAGCTAGTCATTTACCTTCAAGTGATAAATATTAATGTGGACGAGACTTCAACACATGTTTATGCGCTTTAAACATTTTCTTTGTTTGTAAACTAGTAAGAGAAAAATAAATAGATATTCTATTAGTTGAATAATATGTACTGATTAGTTTTGTTTTGTATAAACTTTTTTATTGATAAATAAGAGAAGAACATAAGTAAATTGTATTATGCTATTGGACGCAGAGCATCCATTGTAAGCAACATAAAAAATGATAAATTTCAATGTTTAAATAATAATATCAAGTGAACAAAAAGTTGCTACTGATTAGTTAGCTTTTCAAGAACTGTTAATGAGCATTAGTATTCTCAATCGTTATATACGCATTAATATCCATACTTTTGTGCGCACATGAATGGAGTAGACTTGCCTAACGTATTAAAAAGCAATTTAATTTTAAAGCTAGTTGCTTTAATCAGTAAAAGAAGTTTACAGTTTTATCCGACTAATAGTAAATTGCATCTTTCTTCATCTTCAGCTTAAACTTGTGTGAAAAATTCAACCGTTCAAATCCATTCATGCCATTATCTTAATGACACGTCCATTTTTCATTTGTATTAAAGATCATTGAACTTCTGTGTATAGAAAACAGAAATATGTTACATTAAATCTAGACATTATTTCATATCAGTTGTCGTTTCTATTTCTTATCTTTAATAAATAGGAAAATATTTAATGCATACTGAAATTTGAAGCACTCGTCGGTAAAAAATTGATTTGTAAAAGATAATTTAAAAGTGCGTTGTGAGTACATTTATTTATATGTAACGTGTTAAACAATGAATCATCAATGAATGTTCTAATTTAGTTGGTTTTTCTAAAATTCATTTCGTCGTCTCAATCGAACGCCTATCTTTTACTCCTGAAAGTCTCTTATATGTGTCTCAGTAGTCTCTAAAAAATTTATTGTGTTCTATTACTTAAAAAATATAATGTGTTAGAATGTAGTCAATGGAATGAAACGAGTAAATTCATTTGTGAATATTTACCATTACCGCTATTACTTGACGCGTTAGATGCCTAAAAATGTTTACAGAATTCCAAAAAAAAATAGATAATTAGTGAAACATACATAAGAAAAGATATACACACTATATTTAGTTTCTCGCAAAAGTAACATCCATGCAAAGAGATATTTTTTTTCTATACATCGAACATCCCTATTTTATAAGAAATTTCCGTTTAAATCTTATCTGCCTGGAGTGTTTTAATCGTATTCAAACGAGAAGTTAATCAGTTTAACCTGAGTTGTGTGTATGTTATAATCGTTTTTGTTAAGCAAATAAAATATCTTGAGTCGTCTTATGACATCTCTGCTTTGACTGAAATAAATCAATCAAACTTTTGTTTTTTTGAAGTGTTCTACGACTGTGTGAAGGATTATGTGTACTTTATTATTATTATTGTTCTTGCATTTTTTTATTTTTATCCTCTTTGATATTAAAATATTATTGATCGTTATAAACGATAGAGAGGATAGAGAGAAGAACCGTAATAACTATGTAGGATGAATGTTGGATGCTTGCTTGTCAAAATTCATCACTTTTTTTCGATTATTTTGTTGCTTCCTTTTTTTCTCTGTTATGTTTTCAACGATGATTACTGTGATAGATTACTTAGTACTTTGTTGGAGAAAAAAAATGAAATTTTTTTAAAGCCTAAATGTCTCAAAAAAATAATAATGTGTAATCTGCTTACACACACATATAAATATATATATATATATATAAGTACATACATATGTAGTCGATACCTATCCGCGTGAATTAAATTATAAGTTGATTAACGTTGCTTATGTTAAACATTTTCAATATATTGCCATTTTTGTAAAAATGAATCATAAACTGCTCGACTCATCGAATTCTGTTCACTAGAATTTGTTAATTGCTTATTTTCTTTGTTTAGTTCGGTGATGAAACAAATCCATATGCCTCAAGGTGGTCCGTGGCAGAAATTAAAGATACACATACCAATATATCTGTTTTCTCTAGAATTTCGGAAGAATACACAGATGCAGAACATATTTTTGGTACGTGTTGTTGTGGTATAGTAAAAATTTTATCATCTAATATACTTCTGTTTAAGAATTCGGACGAAAAACAGCCAGCATATTGCTACAGACAAGTAAGCAAAAAGAGAAGAGAAGACATTTAGTCATTTTGTCCTTTTCTTCTTACTTATTTAGAGGCGGCATCATTTTTATTTGCTGTGACATTGATTCTTCCAGTGTTAATGATAGGCGTTGGTAAATGTCGTTTTTACTTTAACGGATGGAGTTATTTTTGGGATGTTTTTTGTGAAATTTATGTTATATTGAATCACTAATTCTTCAATGAATTCTAGTTTCTCATTTTAGGTGTATCCAATCTGGAAGAGTGTCCCTTAGATCCTAAAATTCCAATATTTGTTCTCGTTGGTGGTGCTTTAGCGTCGTTAAAAATACTACAAGTAATGTGGAGTCAATATCATCGTCGACGGAACCGTGAAGGTTTAACAGACGAAGAGGAAACGTCAGAAGGAGCCAATGGTTCAGTATTTATGCAACGATCAATATCATTGATTCTATTTCTTTGGTTTGTATTTGGTAATTATTGTATATTCAAAGTTCGCTTTCCATCGTATGAACAAACATTAGAAGATCCGGATAATTGGTGCAAGAAAAATGTTTATTTAATTGCGTTTATTAGTATTGTATATTGTTACGCTTTAGTAGGCTTAATGATTACTTTACTGCTAATTGTTGTATGTGTTGTGCATTGTAGACACAGACGAGCCATTCAAATAGCAAAAGTAGTAGGAAGTTGAGTGATAAATGAGAATTGTCAAACAAGTCACGATGCGAAAGTATGATGCGAATTGACTAATAATACCGATATACTATGGGAAGGATGAGATGGCTCAAATAGAAAATAGTTAATATTGAGTCACGATGCTTCTACAGAACAACGACAGATAACGTAGGAGAGTCTCTGAAAGAATTAAAAAATCTATTTTCTGTTTAGGCTCTCGGCTTAAATCAGTCCTTCCTTTTTTCCTAACATAATACGTTAGAAAAAGAGGACTTACACAAAAAAGATCGGATTATGAACGAGAATTTTCATTATAAACGGAAGATAAATTCAGATATGTAAATATTTTATTTATTTTCTTTTTGTTGTTGGTTTATTTTAAAACATTTGGTAATATTTTAAATTTTTACGTTAAAAGAGATAAGTTATTCTCTTGTTAAAAAAGTTATTATTGTTATTTATTTCTCATAAAAAAGATAAATAAAACGGAAGGAGCACGAACATCAAAAATGTAATTTTAAATAGAAATCAAAAATTGTACATAATCTATAGGACAAGATTATTTGTTAACGTTAAAATACTGTTAGTAAGTGTATAATAACAACAACAAGAAACTCGTCGATATGATAATCAATACCCAATTTATATATCACTGTAATGGAAGACATACTGACTAGAGAGTATAATTTTAATGAAACAGAAAACGATGGTCATCTTCTTGTGTCACCTTAAGCTAATTTTCATGATGGTAAAAATTAATAAAAAAAGGTATTTGTGACGTTGGTGATAGAACTGATGACTGTTTGAACTAATATGAATAATACGTTCATTCATCACCGTGGTGATCGGATGAGCCTCTAGAAAAAAATAAATATTTTATATCAGTAACTTGACCATGATCGAGAGAATAATAGTCTGCCCATCTAGCGACATCTACGTTAAGCTAGAGAACCTTTATCCACAAATATATCATGGTCCCTTACTTTGTGTTCGATATTTTATTGTTCGACTACTTCCATCGTGATTTTGATGTCTATAATTAAGAATTTTTTTTTCTGTAGTAGATAGTAACAATGTTGTAGTTGATATCGTTGAAAAGATTGATTCTTCTACAAAAATAAAATTGGATGAAGAATAGATTCATCGCAAAATGATATTCGAGATGTAAATAATATACCTAGTACAAATATGAATGTATCTGATCGTCCAAGTGAATTTTCACCAATGCAAAAATATTTTCCAAAATCATCTTCATTTGAAGCCTAAAAATTTAAAAATTGACGTATTGAATGATGTGTTATAGAAAATCGGTGATTTTTCCTACTTGAAAACTGAGAATACTAATGACTGCTGTTTGATTGAAAGACGTTGTTATTGAATATTTTCCATCATTGGCAATCAGTCGACTATCTTTCTCCCAATAGATACGGGCTGTGGGACGAGATGTCGTTGTACATATCAATGTAGTATTTTTATAACGCTGTGTTTGAATAACATCTCCTAATATTATTACTATTGGAGCATCTAAACGAAGAGATACACATTTCAATTATTTTTCGACATTTCTCTGTTTGAAGCTCACATGATGATGTTGAAAATCATGTGAGCAACTTACATTCAACATTAATGGTGAATACTCTATTCGAAGCTGGTAGGACACCATTGTCAGCTATACATTCGACTGTTCTTGGAAAATTTTCCGGTATATTCTGAATGAACCACACTAAACTGTTATCGGGTGCTATAAGGAAAAGACAAAATATTTGATCAAGAGTACACGAGTCCATATTACTATTAATATTATTCAGGTAATGTGTTCTCAGATTGTTTTCTATGATTAGTATTCGTATAGGTAGATATTATTTAATTACACAGTTTAAAAGCAATGATTATTCAGAAACAAACGATTTCTATCTTTTCAGTTAGATACCAATAATAGTTTAAAAGCTGTTCATGGTGTCCAAAATTTCCATTAAAAAGATAGTTGAATAGAAGATTGAAATGTCTACATTAACTTAACGTATCTATCTCATTCATGTCGTGTTTAATCATTTTTCTAAATACATATATATTAAAAAAAAGACATAAGCATCACTTTGTTGTACAGAAGAATAAGTAACGTCATCGAGGCTTTTTTCAAACTTCGTCTACTTTTTAAATACACTTAAAGTGAAATATGCTGTAATAAATCAGCTACAAACCATGAAATATTTAGGTAAGAATATTTAGATAACTCGCACTAAATTCATATTATATCAACTTAGAGATTTTTGAACGCAAATAATACGTTTTTAGCATTATTCAATGTATTGTTTATTAATCAAATATTTCAAGTATAGTTGAGTTAAGGATGTATATAGTGAACTACCTTGTTGAGAGATAATGCTGATAAAAATATTATCTACTCTCACATATATGAACTCTTGTACTTCTCTATTTCATGCTCTCAAGTATGTACAGCAAATAAACAGTGAAAAAAAAGAAGGTCAACGATCCTCAACTTTAAAAAGTTCAAACTATGTGGAAAATTTGATGATTTTCTATTTTTGACGAGAAGCACAGGTCTACTTTGTTCCATACAAATAACAAATGTCAATTAACACGTGTCAAATCACCACAACTACCACTCTCGAACTCTATTTGAAAATGACCGACTGTGCTGAAAAAATCTATTCAGCTGGATACGTGTAGACACGTGTGACATTTTTATTTCCTTAAAAATAATTAAAATTTTCTGAAACTAGCTACCGGATATGTTAGATGAATGAATACATAACCCTATCAACCATGTAAATTAAAGTTTATCCGGATTTTATTCTTTTTGCTTTTACAACACGTTCTTCATTCTTTTTATTGTCTGTCATTGATCTATGTTGAAAACGATTATATTTCATTGTGACATATGGTCATTTATTACATCATTGTCAGCAAATATTTATAAAAAGTCAAACAAATTTTAACTACATAGTATGTGTTCCGGTACTGTTAAAACAGATTATAGTCAAAAAATATTATGATATAATTCTCATAATAAAAAGATCAAAAATTTTAAATGCAAACCGCTGTTTTAAATCCAAAAAAACTGTACCTATTCTAATTAATTGCACTATTCAGTCACACCAGATGTCTGCGTTTTTTGTTTTTTTTTGACAAAAAGTCACGAAGTATACTTGTATACGCTTTGTTCTCCATTTTTATTCTTTGTTCTCATATGTGCAATTGAAGTTGTGTGTATGTATAAGAGAGATATTTTTTAATCTTAAACCACCATAAAGACGCATACATTAGAAACAATATAGATGAAGTATACATTTACATAGTTGACATCTCTGTATGTATACCAGTTTTAAGAGTATTAATGTTTTCCTTACTTATGAAAAGTTCACTCTTCATTAACATATCAACAGTCGTTATTGTATCATGTTAGTGTAATAAATTATTCAATGAAAAAGAAATCACTTCACTCTCAATTTCTGACTTACGCTTATCAATATTATTCAAATCATTGTTGTCTCGAATTCGCCATTTGATCTTTGGTGTTGGTGTACCTTCACCACGACACATTAAACGTAAAGATGAACCGGCTTGAGCTGACAAAACTGGTGGATTCGGTCGAAAATCGACAATACGTGGTGGTACTAGAAAAGTAAAGAATTCAACAATGTGAGATTTAAAATATTTTAGTGAGAAATGACTCAGACAAAATCCATTCTCGCGGTCTAGACAATTCTTTTCATTGCAAAATTTCATACGCATCTTAGTCCAGATATATGTCATCATGTCCTTTACCACTCCAACAGTCTTGTTAGCTACGCTGTCTGACTACAGTTCATTATTACATGTCAAATGAACTCTATAATAACGTATCTTTATCTATTCTAAATAAACAAGCCGAAAGGAAACATATGGAATTTTTTGAATCATTAACCAAATTCTATTTATATATACCTTGCACATTTAAGAAAATTCGTTTTGTTTTTCTTGGTTCTGTGTTTATTTGACATTGATATTCTCCTATACAAACATGAAACAGATGATCGAACGTAATGATGAAAAGACATCACAGTCATTTTTATTGTTTTCTTACCAGCATCCTCTTCACTAACACGATCAATAACTAAATTATGTGATCCAACATAATCAGATTCCAAACGATAATGATCTTTATTTGAATAAACGACACCATCAAAAGCGATTAACGTTAACTGTGTAGTATTTCGAGGACGATCAATTTTCTGCCATAGTACCTGAAAAGATAAAATAAAAAGATTAAAAAATATTTAGTTAAAAACTGAATACTTTTATATTTGGTTTATGAATAATAAAGTGAACATTTTCTTAGCTATTCCTTTTTGTATCAGGTGTCGTCTGATTGTCAAGTTGTGACCCACAACAGTAGTTATCATATCTTATTGTCAGATAAGATTTAGCAAAAAAAAGAAACACAGGTGCTGTAAATATACTTTCTCCCTGTTATTGGAAAATATTAATGAACTGAACAGTGTGTCTATAACAGTGAACACAGAGCGGTTCATTAGAGTCTATTCTATTCTTGTTCTACATGTGTTTTCCATTTTTCTTGCTAGTCGAGTATAATGAGCAGAACAAAGACATATTATCATATTAGTTCATTATTATATACATATAGAGAACAGATTATAGTATTCAACAACGTAATATTTCATTCTCACATGAAAACTATTTCTTTTGTATGCTCCATCTAACAAGGCGGAGTAGAAAGAGAGAGAGAGAGAGAAAGAAGTTGTACAGAGATGTAATCATCGGTTTTATAGTGAGGAATTTTTCTCATCATCATCAAATAATAGTAGTAGACTGAACGCTAAATTTAATTGAATATAAGAGTAGTTTATTGCCAACGTGTTCAAATTGAAATTAGCTTAAGTATATATATGTTGAATAAAATTACACAGATCGATCGAAAGAAATTGTTTTTTTCTATCGTTATACACATGCTGAGTTTGTTTATATTATAATTGAGCAGTAACGTTCAAAAGAACAGCAACGGGCATGTGTAGACGATCAAATTGATGGAGTGTATATGAACTTGACAAAAACAACTTGTTTCTAAATATAGGTGACGGTAGACGGTTGATTATTGAGAAAATCAAATCTTTAAAATGATTAATCTGATCAACACTACGCAACGAGTTATTCTGCTGATCGTTGTAGTGGTTCAAAATACCCGTGAAAAATTTTGAAAAACCATATCGTTAATTGAAATCAATGAAAAGTGTAATGAAATGACATTTCTTTAAAATAAATTGTTCATTGCATAGTAGATATGTTTAAATATCCAAAATTAACAGACATCATAAGCTCTACTGTATAGATGGTTGATTTTCAAGTAAAAAACATATGTATTCTGCGATAGATATGCTATCCCTCTAAATTCATCACATTACTGATAGAATGATTTTCACGATGAACTTTCATGACATTTCAATATTCAAAAGGAATTCAAATTTCTTCTGATTAACCTCACGTTATTTCCGTTCTTTTCTTATACTCAAATAAACAACAGATTCAGTTATAGATCATAAAACCCACACTTTATTGTTTCGCGTAATGTTCATTTAACACTTTTTTATTTTTATGTATTATTCGGATGGCACCTTTTCTCTGTAAAAAGAAAATTTAGAGAGAGAGAGCTTCTCTCTCTCTTTCTCCTTCTATCTTCCGGTGAATACAATTGCTATTATATGAAAAAAAGGGTTTATAGGCGCATAACAAAATTTCGTTTTGTTCATGATCATTCAAGCACACATTATTTCAAAAATTGCTCCCATTTTGAACATTTAAAGAAGATTTCTCTAGAAACCTTGATTGACCGATTATGTTTATTATGGTAAACAGCTGCAATTATCTTAGATAGTGTTCTCATAACAACTCAAGTTATTTTAATGATATGAACAGTATCTCTCTATGATTTATATATATATATATAGATCGTCAATAATTGAAATTATTTTACCAATGTTTCCCAAGAGTAACACAAAAGAGTCTTCATATTTGCTCTTCTAGGTTGCTGCGATATTGATACTTATAGTCGATCAATGTTTGTTTTCAAAACAACGATTTTTTTATGATAGAAAACATGGAGACTAATACAACTTGAAATCAAAGGCAAGTTGTATTTAGACATTTAATCTGCTTCTAATAACATTTTTCTCTGAATATACATATATATGTATATGTACACCATGCATATATAGACTATATACATGTTCAAATCAAATTACAAGGACAGATCGTAATCAATTGAGAATAGCAAAGAGAGATAGAAAGAGAATATAAACCCATAATAAAAGAGACTAACCGCTTCCGTTCTAAATAGACTGGTTAATATTCATAAGTTTTTTAATATAAATTGAACAAGTAGCAAAACTAAAAGAAAAAACTCTAAATATAAGTGGAACATTTAGATATGATGCAAAAACAAAGAGAAATAACTTGTGTTCTCTGCCAGCTGCAATTAATGTCTCAGTTCTAGTATCAAGCACTTGCTATGAATAAATTTTATCCTCCAATGTATCTAAATAAAATCAACTCATTGACTATTACTGAAAAAATAATATGATGGTCTCTATTAATTTACAAATTAGTTCAACAAAACAAGTGATACCAGATGATAAACAGTAGAACAGATATTGTATATGTTTATTTAACTTTTTTGATCGATCACCGCCATGCTGATATAGATGACTTCTTATCTTACAATCTGTTTTAAGTATGTATTTTATGAATAACTAAATTATGAAAATCTGCAATATAATCTTAGAATTTAATCGTTCATTTATATTACCGCACCAAAGAAGAAAAAATCGAAAAGTAATCTTATATCGTTTACATTTATTTCATTTGATGATTTCATAATTTTTTTTTATCTGTACATCATCAACTTTCATTCGATATTAATTCATTAGTAATGCTATACTAACGAAAAAATCGAGTATAGTAGCCAGTTTATAAAGTAATTGTCATATAATTAGTTGTCATGACATGAAAATATTTGTGATATGATTATAAATCTAATTAAGTGATCATTTATACTGCTTAACTGCAATATGTATACAAGATTTGTTAATTTATCAAGAAAACAAAACTTGTTCAAATAGAAAAACGGTTGAGAGCTCCTTAAAGGATAAAATGAAAAATGATCATAGAAATAACATGATTTTGATGTCGGTTGACCAAATTTTATAAAAAAACATGCAAAAGGTCTCGGTTACAAAAAATTAATTTTTTTATGCCAAAATCATGAAAAGATCATGGGAAAAGCATATACCAGAGCTCGGTTCGCTTATATGATTAAACAACACGGTTTAGATCTCGGAAATTGTACATATGGTACAATAAAGTAGTGACCTAGTTAATCGAAGAGTAGGCAGAGTTTAAATGGAATATCTATGTATTTATTAACCGATGATGTACACGTTGTATAATACAGTTATCAAGTATACACAGCACATCATCTGACAGTCTGTAATGTTTTTTTCTTAACTGAGATCTTTTATCTACTTCTTCTTGAAATTTTGTCCGTCCAGATCGAAAGTATGTGGTCTTTTAAATCTATGTCCCGCCTTTAATATAGACAATAGAGACTATACGATTGCTATATGATGTGCCAATGATAGCTGACATTGGCTATGCGTGTCGACAAACAATAGTGTCCGATCATAAAACAATATGGGTATTGTATTTCTTTCTATCCATTATGAAATAGGTCTGTTTTGAATTCTAGGTATAGTGTCTAATAATGGATGCTTAGTTAATTAGCTTTTGTAGTTTTCAGGGAACAAATTGTATAGACAACATGTCATGAACTCATTTTTTAACTAAATTCTTTAACGTCATGTTTTCCTCTTAGGCAATAAATGAAGCGAATCTTCACCTTCATCATATTAATCTTAATCTTTTGTACAACAATGTCAATCATTTCGATTAAATCTTGAAAAATATTTTATGCTTCAGAAGAAAAAAAAAGGTTAAGCATCACATATATATGATATGCTGGTAATGGTAATTGTTTAAAATGTAAATAGGGGAGGTGATGATTTGTTATTTCTAAAATAAGAAACTATTTAAAATTCTTTATGCTTTTTTGTTTCGAACGAATAACCTGAAACGTACGTACACTTCAGTTCAAGAATTGAACGACATATGATAATGAGCATATAGAAATATAGGCATATCAATCATTCATACGAAGCTCAAAAACTCAAATTTAAATTGTCGCATACCAAGGAACACTTAAAAAGATATATAAAATGAACATAAATATCGACATATCACTAAATCTTCAATATATAAATTTGGAAATGAGAGATTTCTAATCCTATATATCGACATTTTTCATTCGAAATGAAAAGGTGTGAAATTGATACTGCTAAAAAGTCTTCATTCATCGTTCAAGTTATCTCTAGATTCTGTACTACCAATAACAATGAAAATATTCATTAAAACGACTATAAAATACTGACCTTGAATGAACGAACTTCTTGAACATAACATGTTAACACCACCTTGCCACTAACGGGTATCGTATAATTTTCGACATCTGTATCAAATGCCACATTTGTTCCGGCTAGAATTAAAATTATTAATAAAGTTTTTTCAATCGATCGAAATACGTTTAAATTATTGAATGAACGATAATTCGTTCTAGTTCTAATTAAAATATTTAATAATATTGTTCGAATTAACGATAATAATCGATTAATAACACGAAATTGTAATAATGACGACAACATAATAAATATCATCCTACAACTAATCATCATTTAATTGTCATTTTGCTTAAAAACGTTTTTTTTTTTTTCTTAAAATAAACTAGTCACAACAACAGACACCGGATCTTTCAAATCGTTGTTTGTTATTAAAATAAGCTAAGAGGCTTATACTTCGTTTTTTTCCTTTCTATAGGAGAACAATTCAAACAAAACTGAACAGTTCTATTCTACAGAGAAAAGAAGAGAGAGATAAAGAGAAAGAGAAAGAAGAGAGAAAATGACATAGAGGGAATTGATATGGCTAAATGAGTAATAATGTTTCGTCGTTTTTTTTAATGAACTAGTCGCGATTTTCCGACATAGACAAAGGTGTCAAATGAATGTGCTCATTCATCGTGTATGGAAAAGTAGTAACGATCAATACATGCGAGAGAGAGAGAGGAAGAGAGTTCAACTCATTTATACAGAGAGAGAAAGAGAGGAGAAAGAAAGGGAAAAGAACGAAAAAGAAAGAAAAGAGTGTAGTTTTTTTTTCTTCTTCGGTTTTTATCTCATTCTTATTGTTGAACATTTCACTTTTTTTTGTCGAATAAACCACTGTCCTAATATGAAGAAACTTTTTGATCTTGTTAATCAGCATAGAGCACTTGATTATTTCAAAACATTACACCGTTGAACACTGGAATTTTTGCTTGTAGAATAAAATGACATTGCATTTATGAGTGAGTGAACTGCTTCATCGTTCCACCCGTTTACTCATAATCAACATTCGACTAATGATTATAATTTAGTTTTCTATGATAGTCGAAAAATTCTTATTTTGAAAAAGCTAAATGCTCATTTTTCTCCCACAACTAAGACCTTCAGACAAATCATATCGTGCATTTTTTCTATCGTTTAAAAAACAGCTTTTAATTTTTTATTGAAAATTAAGTTCCTGGCCGATGAAGATATCTTATTGTGTTGACGAATTTATTTTTATTAAAACCACTATGTATTGATAAATTTTTAATATTCTCTTTCAACCTTTGTTTTACGCAATAAATAATTCTTTTCCTCTCATACAGACTAACGAAAACTGTTAATCATCTACAACTAAATTCAAGATCACTCTCTCTCTCTCTCTCTTCTTTCTTTCCTGATGTTCGTGTTTGTGAACACCTTGTAGACATATTTATAAAACAGAAAAATTGAATTTTGTCAGCATACGCGTCTCACTCTAGTAAAATCAATTATAGAACTTTATTAGAATATGGAGATTTTCATCTCTTTCTCGCTTTTCTATTGCATGTTATATGAACAATACACAATCACACTACCACACGTTCATTTTGAACAAACGTGTGTGTTTATATGTAGATGAATTAATTATCTACCGTTATAAAAAAAAGAAAATTTACGCCTGATTTCACACACAATCCTTGAGTGTATATATAGTTGAAAGAAAGAAGATCAGATCAGATTAGATCTTATTCGGCGGATGAATTTCATCTTTAGTCTTTCTATCTACTGACCATATGACTAGTAGTTCATTTAGTTTTTTCATCTTTTTTATTTTAATTTTCAAATTTGTTATAAATATTTCTCAATTGTGTGCGCTCTCAATTGAGATTGATGTGATCATTAATCCTTTACGATGATAGAAAAAGTAAATGAACCTTATGGAAGCACAAGAAGGAAAACATGAGGGCGTATATACTCATGGGCAAGTTGCTTATTAAAAGATTATACATCATAGTTTCAACGATCACAAACACGTCATCTAATATTAGAAAGCGAAAAACATCTTGTCATCAAAACAAAAATAGCTGAAATGTAAAAATAGAGACGTGCCGAATAGCTGCTTAGTGGAATTTGTTTTTTTTGTTCTAAATGTGTAGAAAATCTTCGTTAAAAAATGTTTGTGAAGAGGAAACGGTTGAATAGTAAACATTCTATCTTATGAGTAGCTACTAATATTTCTGATCTTTCAAAATATAATGAATTGAAACAAAAATAGATGTTTGTCAGGATATTCAGTTCTCTTCAGACTAGGCAAATGAAAGTAAGACTTATCAGTGCTGTTATCACGATCCATCAGCAATCAAACAAATTAAATTTTGAAGTTGTTTGAAAAAGACAAGTATCAGTGACGCTTTCATACCAGAAAATATGGATGGATTGACTCTTCTTTTGTTCATACGTCTATCTTCATAAAGAAGGTGAAATTTTATTGGTGTTCAAATGCTAAGAAAGACTAACAAAACTTTTTAATTTTGACGACTATACATGCATGGGAAAACCAACTATTTTTAATTTTAACTGATTGGTAAATAAATCAAACGAAGAAATGCATCCTTTCTTTTGTTATTAATTGAAATCAAATCATATTGTTTCACTCTTTTTTAAAATAACACAAAGAATATCAAAATAGGGGGATGAAAGGTGTGTGTTAATTGAATGATGATGAGTCAAGTTCAATACTTGATAGATAGATAGATAGATAGATATAGAAAAAATGATATAGTTTGAACATATTTATTGCATGAATAAATATGATACGATATAGTGTGAACATGTTTTTCACTTATTTGAAAAAATAATATCCAAGGCCATCTTCTAAGAAGGAAAAAAAACATGATCATTATTTAACAGTTTGTTTCGTTAATGTTTGATCATTGATCTGGAAATATATTATCGTGTAATCAAACGGTAGACATCGTCCATTCTCAAAGAACTGGATGCAACATGAACATTATTAAAAAACGCTCGAATGATGATGATGACGATGATGATTATGATAGAGACAAGGGAAAAAAATCAATTTATTCTATCCGACACACACACACATACAGGTAGTCAAGTTGACCGATCAAAGGACGGAAATCGCGGTGACATAATTAACTTCATGGCAGAAGTTTATTATGCAATTTTTACACGATATAATGCACTCACGTATGTACAATACAGGAAAGAGTTTCCGTCTAACGAACAATAGATAAAGAAGAAAAAGTAAAATTGAATATTTCTTGCTTTTTCTTAAAATTTGTCTTTCAATTTTCAAGTACCAATATGCAACTTCCTTGACTGTTCATCTAATATTTCAATACTCATTAAAAAGCCGTAAAATGTTTCTGTTGTCAATCTTGTTATTGATGAGATCGATCTCGTTCAATTCTTTCTATATGTCACCATTTACAAAATATTATGAAAATGTGTATAGTTTGTGTAAAACAATGGATAAATTTGATAACGTTAAGTGTTTTGTCAGAACTTTGACATTATGTATCCGAAGCGGTGTATCACACCTCGTTAACTCTGTTTAAACGATGGCACAGGCAATCACGTAAGTACACTTTTTCTTAGCCTAGCAAAGATCATTACCTTAATATATGAAACAAAGTCTCTACGACTGAATTTATCAGTGGGATTTTTGATCTCATCACAGTGCAGAATGTGACTTATTTGTCATAGTAACACTTAGTTAGCTAATTTTCAAATAATTCTTCTTTTTCACGTTCTGACACTAAAGTGCTTTTGTACATTGTCTAACAAAACAACCGATCATTTTTCAGTGACAGATTCTTTTCCACTTTCAGTTATGACAAAACATCTCATGGAATTTCTGATGGACACGTACAATGTGGATTTGGGACCTGAAACAATTATGGTTCAAAAAGAGCCATCATTTGGTCCTCCTGTTCCTGTTTGTCAACACTTATGTATACGCCATCGTTTATTACGTTTAAATTATAAAATTGTCTTCCCAAAACAATCACAAATTGCTCTATGTAAACAACATTTACACAAACATTTAGTGTCATTGCCACAAGACGCGACCACCGTAAACGAGAATATTCCATTTTATTCATCATCGTGTGATGTCAACAGAACATTAACGCGAATTGTTGAAAAACGATTTAGAAAAATTGAGCACGCAAGAAATCGTTCATACTCAAGGAATAAAAATTCACGGAGGGATTTATTCAATAATCTAATGAAATTTGAGCAACAACTATCAGAACATGGCCTTGAAGAATATTTATCACCAGAGATGATGATAAATGAGTTTTCAAACAACTCACAGAGCAACTCTACAACTGGTCAAAATAAAAAAGTAGAGTCAGAACAACAAATACCATCAACATAATATTTATCGAAATTATACGTATTTTCAGTACGATTGAAGAAATAGAATTTATGAATAATTAAAAAAATGAAGACAGCAATAAAAATAGTATTTAGTAATTACAAAGATATAAAAAAACTCGAAAAATAGTGTGAATTCGAATTTTTTCACATACCAAGATCTTCTTCGTTTGATTCTGCACACGTGTAATGTATAATAATTAAAAGTAGAATTTTAATAACATCAACAACATTAAACATACTACGTTTGAAACTAACTACTGTTAGATGGTAGATATTATAACAAATCAGTGAGAGATGACTTAAAATAACAAATTTTTCTTTTTAGTGATTATTCAGTAACAATGAAATCTCTCTAATTTTTATATTCCAATACGCCACACATATGTTTTTACCGTTTGATGTCATTCAATTACTGAATTCTATGATAAATTGTTCCGTTTATTTACAATTATATCTGTTACTACCATTTTGTGTCTATGTGTATATAGGCATTCGGCGCTTAATGAAGATAATAAAATTAATAAAAACATATTTTCATTTTCAAAAGAAATAAAATTTGTTCTATTCCCTTCATTTGACTAATGAGTCGAATCAAAATGTTCTCTCTCTCATTTTTCCCAATCAAGAATAGTACAATCATTTCTTTGTGAGAAGTGTCCGTTTCCTACACCATGATGGCATCTAAAAAAAAGAAACAGAACCTGATCGGATGTATCAATAGTGCTTCAAAATTATTCAATGAAGTATAGTCTGGTTTGATTGCAATTAGAAGTCAACTAATAGAATCAGTTTTGCATTCATCTTGAATTTTTTTGAAAGGTATCTCTTCAAAATAAAAAAGCATAGCTTAAAAGACACTAAAAAGTATTCGAGAAGAAAAAATGTTTTTGGAAAGTGAGAATCATTTTGTAAGGGTCTCTTTTCCGTTTTGTAAAGTTCTAAAGCTAGGTGCATTCTTCTAAACCCTATAAACGAGTTTAATAGAGATGAAACATCTTTTTGTTTGTTATAGTAAAGGATTTTACAAAATGACTCTTGAATCCATGATAGTTTGGAATTCATTTTTTAAACGTTTTCTCTGAAAAACGGAGCATAAAAATTTCTGATGCCATCCGTTTCAGCACGTCAAATTATCTATGTTCTGTGATTGCCACATCTCTTGGATACTTTCATCCCACGTGGCAAAAAAATTATTTTTAGGACTAACGAGGAAAGGACACCAAGTGGCAAATCGCTTTTCAGCCATGAGCAAGTGGGCAATAGGTAATCAAATATGCTGAATCCGAATATGGCATCCGTTTGGGCTGATGGGCCTCGTGAGACCGG